CCTTAAACAGATATTATGTAAAAACAATTTAAAAATATCCGGAAACGTGAAAAAGTTTAAAAAAAGTAGTTGGAGTTTGTTTTGCTGCAGTTAAAAACGTGTAGTGCAGTGCAACGAGTATAAGTAGGGATTAAAATATATATTCAATAGTATGGGTTGTAACGGTGATCACACCGTAGGTATATTATACGGTACTGTATTACATACTTCCACAGCATAGGTATATTATAATATTATAATTCACTATCTTCACTGTGTTACTTCGTTTTAGGCGCTTACGACTCGTGCGGGATTGATACATACGGCCCTTGTAGCAACTACAGATCACATAACTCCGCTGTCGATCCGGATAAATGCGCTTGACAAACTAACCTTTGGTTTTGGCGGCGTAACACTTGAGTGACTGCCGGGAGGATATTCGGTATTTATCCGCTGTGGCAGCGGTCTAAGGTTGGCTAGGTATTTGGGTTGTAAATTACGACAGCGTTCGGCTCAGTGCAGTCGACAATCCTTCGCGACAAATATATATATATAATAATAAATAGATAATTGTGCGTGTGTAGGTAACGGGCCGGGGCCGCTCTCGTTAAGTCCAAGCGACGACTGCGTGCACTGATATATATCATAATATTATACAATGGCAATAATGATAATAATAATCGCATTGTGTAATCGCATAATCATTACATCCTCCGCCGTCACGTAGTCTGACGTCGACGGTAATAATATTTTAAGCGTTCGTCCGGATTGCCATATTATAATATTATTATATTATAATTATTTTGATTTGACATTATAAAAGCTATGGTATGATGTATATAATATATATATAGGTATTATAATGTATTTTTCGTGTGTGATTTTTACGTTAGTTTTCCGAGGACAGTGCCAGGGACAGAACCAGGCCCTGATTTACGCAAGTGCAGATGGAGCACTTGCACTTGGCCCCCAATTTTTGGGGGCCCCCGATCTCCGTGAATTGTAGAACATTTTCTGTATTAAAATTTTTTTTAAATTAATTATTTTTAATAAATTATAATTCCCATAGACCTTATACTAGTATAAGTTATTCTTCACCTCAATACGTCATATTAAAATAATAATAATAGAAAATTGTTCGAACATCGGAAATATTTGATACATAATAACTATTTATAGATTTCTTCCAGCCCAGTATTTACTGATTAACCGGTCGTTGGTGACGCATTTCGCACCCACAATTACCATTTTTAGAACTATTGGTTTAGGTTATTCAGTTATCCACGGAAATGAATATCGCAAAACAAATGTTATAAATAAACTAATATATATAAAAAAAAATTTGAATCAGTTATCGAAACCTTTGCAGAGAAAAAAGCAAGAAAGAAATCTTTTTAAACTTTTTTTGTGATAAAATGTTATAGCTAAATAAAAATATAAATATAGAAAATATAGAAATGATTTATTTTTCATTTCATTTTAATTGTATAAAATAAATTGTGAAATTAACAATTTATTTACCATTTTTATAATTTTATGGAAGATTGATAATTAATTATGTTATTTAATTAGTATTATTTTTTCAATGTCCTTAATTTACCAGACCAAGTAACTAAATTGTATTTATAGTATATGAAATAATGTACAAATATTTTATGAAATTTGAGATATTTATTTAATACTTAACATATAAATATTTTGTTTTATTATCAATATTTCCTCCTACTTTGTGTATAGATTTTTTCTAGAACATTTTTTTGACTTGTGGTGGTGGCCGGTGGGGTTAGGGGGCCCCCAAAAAAATTGTGCACTTGGCCCAAATTTTATTAAATCAGGGTCTGGACAGAACATATGGTTCTGCCGTTTTGTAATCGAGAGTTGTAATAAGCCGAACGAAGTATAAGAAACTAATTTCGAAAATTTAAAAAAATTTTAAAATCTTGCACGCTTACCGTGGATATCCGTTTCGCACAGTATCCACAACCCTACAGTATAGTTTAATATTATTATAAACACGCATGTATATTTTATTATATGTATTATATACGATACAATATACCGCAACGAGTTTGCGCTGCTGCAAACGTAAATTACATGTATAATATTCCATAGCTTTTAAAGTATATAATAAATGGTAATGGATTTTACATGGTGTGTCAAAACTGCAGTTGGCCCAATGTACATACGTATATTTTTAATATATATATAGACATATCGATAATAATTTATATAGACATGGGCATTATATATATATATATATAAATGGATATTATATATTATTTTTCGATTATTTCTCAGACACAATAATGACGCTTGTATATATATATTTATATATACCGTATACTTCTATAACCTGCGACCAAACAATTATCGCACAATAATAATTCGTCGGACACAACACCAATTCCATTGCGAAATCGGTAGCGCACGGCAATTTACAAGAATGTCTGTGCAGTGTACCTACCTTACCTATATATTAATATGTCCACTGCAGTCCGATTACATTATTTGGATCAAGGTGAACGGTCGTCGTCGTGATCGCCCTCCCCTCCCTCGAGAAACCTTACCCCCTGACTGTTATTACGGACCTAAAATATAATAATATTTTGCGCACACTGCTTCCACGTGGGGACTTCCTACATCGAGATAGTTGCGACATTTTCGGACGCTGAGACGTAGAACGAACGGTTTTTTTTTCTAAAATTGTATCTACCTATATGCTCCTGCAGCTATTTCATAACGCTCCCGCGATCGGCGCCGTTCGATTTTTTACATAAACCCGAAAATTATGTTGATAATAATAATGCAACAGGTATATATTTGTGCGTAATGCGGACGACCGCGGATGACGCCGATCAACCGTTAAAACTACGACGCGACGGTGATTATGTACGATCCGAATTTTATTTTATACATAGGTATATATAGGTACGTACCAGGTATACCTATGTAATGCATAAAATGAACTATTTGCTTTTTTTCTACTTGTCTGTTTTTTCGTTCGAGGAAACGACGTTCGTGCGTGTGATAAATTCGAACGATTTACTAATATAATGTGTGTTCACCTAAAACCTTCGTTTATATTATCATCATTACAATTCCGTTTTACTTTCCCCTCGGTGCGCGACGGCGGCTTAAACGCGCGTTAAAGCAACAACAACGACTGCAATTCGGTGGAGATAATTAAATTTGTGTCCGATCCGATTTCGATATACCTACCGAACACGAACGTATATATATAATATGTGAATTTCCCGATAAGACGTTTTCACCGGCCGTTTTCGTGCGTGTGGCATATATACCTATATATACTAAGTGTGTATACGGCATAATATGCAAAAGTTATAATTGTCGTACGAGTGTATAATGTGAGTCGCGTGAAATTCGATCCGCCGACAAAAGATCTGAGCGCCAGTTTTGATGGTCACTAAATTATGGTCCGGACAATTCTGTTGCACGCGACTACGTCGCAGCACGAAGTGGCGAACCCTGCAGAGACTCGTCAGAGAATCGTCTTCTAATCAGTTTTTTTTTTCGAGTTTTACCCCGGTGATGAATAATCACTGCAGTAGGTAAAGCAGTGAAGTCCTTAAATGTTTCAAACTGAAAACGATGACCAACGGCTGGCGACCACGCCGAATTGTGTACATATGTACATTATAATAATATAACAATATTGTTATATGTTATATCGTCGAGAGATTAGACTTAAACGTGCGTAACTGAAATTAATGATAAACTGCAGCGGCGATGGTTCCACACGCGGTGCTGACGTTTTCAGTTGTCATTATTATTTTTTTATTGAGCGGCACTCTTGACATTATCGTTTTTAGTAGTCGTTACGAAATATTATTATTTATTTTTTTTTACCAAATACAAATATGATTTCTCCGCTTTGTCCGACCACAATGACCGTTGATACATTTTCTCCCACACAGTATATTTCTCCCGTACACATTATTATTTCCTTGTTCGCCCACTATGTTTACTTTCTTCCGAATGGTTTTGTCGACGCGTACAACAGTCTATAGGTACCTAATACCTATACATATATTGGCACACACAACGGGCGCCGAGTCGGTTATTTAATATTTTCGATGTTTATCTTGTAGTATTATTACCATCACTGGTCATTAATGAGTTGTACTAACAGGAAAACCAATTATCCATCACCCGACTCGTACTTATGTTCAAATTTTAAGGATTACGATGGTTTGTACTTTGTGAATTTACAGCACACTATTGGATTTTACGCCACAAACGTTTTACACAGAGGCAGTCATCGGCGTAACGTGCAGCCCAAGTTGCTTTTCTCGACATCCCTTCAAATAACGCGTGGTTTATCACTGTGTCTCGATGAAAATCGAAATCCCTATTATAGGTTCAACACGCGTATTTCGGATTTCCCCCATTAAAATGCCCCCCCAAAAAACGATTCTTGTCAAAACATAATTTATCAGCACAGATCTCGCGTATATACCTAGGTAGGCCGATTCGGTCCTATGTATAGATGCCATTATAATATTATACGCCATGTACGTTTCCGAGGGCCCGGAGGTTGCAGGAAAAAGTCGTGTGCAAGATGAGCGTTGCTTGTCGGGCGGCGCTTACGTATATACACCGTGTACACGTGTAAATTCACTTTCATATTTCACGTACGGGGAAAAAAAACATTGCGCGCGCCTTTCTATAATATACGTTCGAAACAACAACTTTTGCGCCACACAGTCGTTACGTAAAACTCGTCTGAAAACTAGTCGTATAATATGTATACGTCGTATAATATTATATTGCGATCGGTTTCGATTTCGCTCGAAATCCGTACGCAGACCATATCACAAATACAATAATAATATATAGGTAGTATATATTATACCAAATGGTAAATACCTATACTAAACACAAATATATATTATATATTGACAATAACGTGCCGACTGCATAATACGCGGAGATCTCTACTAGTAAAAACTGTAAATTTTCGGATCGCGTCTATATGAAATGTGTGTGCAGGTACTTACTCGTTTGACTGTGCCCGCGGTGAGACGGGAACGAAATCCGAAACGACAGGAACCGTCGTCCTCTCCTCCTATAGTTGTTGCCACGAAAAACTAAGCACAGAACGCGTGAACGATAGAGATAGTTTCGGCGAGAGACGATTTTCTTTAAAAAAAAAAAATAAAAATTCTTCGGCGCTTTGGCTCGACCGTCGTCTGCGTTACGTCCGCGGTCGGGGGTCCAAAACGACCGAACGAAAAAATTGCAGAACGTCCAAAATAAAATTCACGATCGACGACGCGCGATTTATGGCTGCTGTACGCACCGCTTTCACTGGTCCTCGGACACTTTATATTATAATATTCGCGTCGGCTTGAACTCGGGCGGTCTAGCGGTGTTGGTTAAATCTGTGCGAAATAAAAAAAATATCTAATTATTTACTGTCGACCGCGGTGTATACTTTTACAGTCGGGCGTTCGACGAGCACTACTCGTCGTCAACTCGCGATGACTACTGACCGTGCCGCCGGTTCAATGATATATCGATGTGGAGGTCCCCCGGGCGTCGCGCTCGTCCGTGTCGTGTTCACTCGACGACCCTACTATACCGCGGTTGCTGCTGCTCCGGCTGCTGTTGTTGCTCGCGTGGTCATCGGTCTCTCCCACTCTCCTCTCTCTCTCACTCCGTCTCCGTCACTCGCACACTGCCCCCCCCTCACTCTCCTACTCTTGCCCGACTCCCACCGCGGAAAGCGCCTTATCGCGTGTGTGCGGTATTATAATATTATAATATAGGTATATGTACCTACCTGTGGATGTCGCACGCTGATCTCGACGAATTCGCAATTTTTCCGCGATCCGTCGAATCCGATAGATCGACGACGACGATACGACGTCTTATCAGTGTTATCCGATCGTCGGGTTTTTTATGGGTAGGTACCACCCATGCGCCTTACGAGCGCTGCTCGAAATTTTTCGTCTGCGAACGCCGCCGAGTATCCATCGCGTCATATTATATCCGCTGTCGGTTTAACGACTTCAACGACTCCCTCCTCTAATCGTATTCGAATATTTATATGCGGACCGGTGTCTGCAGACGACTCGTTTGATGATTTTCGGTTTTACTGCAAATTTCGAGTTTGGATCATTTCCCGATCTCTTATTAGCCGGCGCACGCATGACGCACGTACCTATGCCGCGCTAACGACCGATTAAAAATATATGGAGACAGAATTTTTTTCCGAATTTATTTAAAATAATATATTATATTGTCGTATTATTGCCGTCCGAGTTCAGAAAAAAGTAAATTCTGCAATGCGTTATACCTTTATGCAGAAAATTTAAAAAACAAATTTTGTTTATTTTAATTGGACGTGTACCAATAATAAGTGCGTGTTGTTCTGCAGCACTCAACTACCTATAGTGTATAATTAAAATAATAAAATCGTGGTAGGTGCATATATAGGTTTCCGAAGGGGGAAAAAACTTTAGATGTATCGTTTTCTCCAATAATACTTTTTGTATGAGATTGTTGTTACCTCGAAACAAAACGAGTATAATATACGCTGTATAAAGTATCACACGTCAACCTTAAGTGAAATACTAATCACATGGTTTATTCTAATTATACTCTTTTTATCTAGCAGTATTTTGTGTTGCGAAAATTTACTGTAATTATCAAACATAATAAAAAAAAAATGTAAGTATCCGAAGAATGCCTTATGCTGCAGTATTATAATCCCAGTCGATGTATTTTGGTATTTATCATTGTTATAAGTCACTGCAGGTTAAAGCAGTTCATCTACATGGCTACATAACACGATACTAATTATTGTCGAAATGTGGTAAATACGAAATAGTAAATACCTGCAGAGAAACTACGAAGATTTAAAACGAAAAATAATTATTCAAACACGTGTAGGTATGTTATAAATTATTATAATGAGAATACCTGTGTGGAATGAATACGAATTAAAAAAACGTATTGAAATCCCTTTTGTTTCGATTATACTTAATGGATTATCAAATTAATTAAATGGATAATTTAATAAGACAGCATAAATTATGTAAATATAATAATTGCCGCGTGTAATAGGTTTAGTAGTACCTATCTATAATATAGGTAGATAAAAACGAAATAAATTATAGTCATAATATTGATTATTTAAAATTCTCTATTCAATAATGAACGGAAACATAATACAACTATTACATACGTGTCACTTTTATAGTTCTATAAGAAGCTTATGCAATAATATTATTATGCGAGTACCTAATAATATAATAATTTATTCTTTGAAATTAAATTCGAAAGCAAAAAGGTGATAGTTTCTCGATTAAATGTATTGAATATTTATTAATGCAGCTGTTTCACGATAATTGTTCCCATAGGTATGAAATGTTATATTTAAGACGAGCTATATGCACTAAAAATCAAGATCTTGGTAGTCTCCGGGTGTTTTTTTGTGTTGAAAATATGGAGAAACTCATTCTTTTAATGAAAAAAAAAAATGCATTAAAAAGTTTAAAACAAATAGCACAGAAACGGACCGTCGTGGTATAATGATTTCAGTCGATCTGACCTAACATTATACACGAATATCGTAAGTATACAATAACAATAAAATAATCTGAGTTTGCGTATAGTGTTCTTACTTCCTACCTTAAATTCGTAGGTTTGCACGAGGAGTGAAGGCGTTGAAATTTTTTTCCGAGAAGATAGTCTGCTGCTGCAGGAGTGACGTATAATTATCTTTATGAAGAAGTGTTTCACGACTATATATTCAGAAGAATTCTAAGTCTCAGCTGTCAACTACTGCAGTCGACGCTTTCGCTATAATAATATTATTATATACAGTCTGAAACATGTCATAGAATTTGGTTTTTAATACTCAGCAAGAGCGCCATGATTTTGGGGGATAAAAAAGTAAAACATAAACACCTTATCATATACACGTGTCGTCGTCGGTACCTTTATATTTAATTCGGGACTTTAGCCCCCTTAACGCACTGTCGGCGAGCACTCCTCCGTTGGACGGTGGATCGATCATATTAATCATAAACAGTCGTCGGCTTTCGGTCATCGCCACCTTTGAGTGAAACGAATAAACGATATAATATTATTATTTAGTGCTGTTTAGATGAAACCCGACCTCACATTCGTGCCGACCGCCATCGACGTTTGACAACATGAGCAAAACTCAAGTGATGTATTCGTAGGTACTATGTAACGTCGAAGGTCAAACGCAACGTACCCGCACAAGATGAGTAGTTGTAGGCAATATTTTCGAGTAGTTCACTTGGTTATTATACTAATATTGTATTACATGTGTCACAGAAATGACTTGTTCCGAATAATATTGTTGACAATTGACATAATTATTGTAACGCCCATCGTTGACACTATAAAAACACAATATCAAAAAGGGCAACGATATATGCCATTGAGTTTTTTTTCGCATTGTTCTCAGTTCGTGTAATGACCTCTGTTATCGTCTGGGAACTTGTTGCGTTTATGGCATTCAAATAGAATTGCAAAGATATGTGTATATATATTATATATATTGTATTTATCTAAATAACATAATTAGATAATTACCTATATTTATATTTTTTTTACGATAGGTATACCTACAAACATTTAACTTAAATTAATTTATATAATTTACCTAGTTGAAGTCAATAAAATTTATATTTGATTGGAGGCACAGTTTTAATTTGTCTCCTATATATGTTGTGGTACGTGGTGTTTATTTCATATTTTTGATATTCTACTAAGGTCGTACCTATGTTTAACGGTATAATCCACTGCACACGATTACCATAATATGAGTGGATAGTTTGAAAATATAATAATATATACTAAATTACAATAATGTTATATTTAAATCATATTTATATAATAAGAGACACAATTTTAATATTTATTTAGACGGAATTTCACAGTTTCAATAAATGATGAGTAACTATTTAATATTTTATTTTATATATTTGTACCTACTTTATAGAATCAACCTCTATGTGTACCTACCCCCGTGTGAATCTGGCTTTATGTTTTCGGTCTTGAAGGGAAAAAACGGTGGCCGTCACGTCGATAAATAATTTATAGGCCGAAGGGCTTGCTGCAACAACCAGATAAATCCACTTTTTGAAATTGTTCAGGATAAGCAAAACAAAATCCTTTATCTCATGTATCACTATTTCATTTTGAGATATAATTGGAAATAATAAAACGATTTTTCTGATTTTTCTACCAAAATATAAATATTTCTTCCATGAATATTATTCCATGAAAAAGTCATGTTTGATAAAAAGTAGATTTATCTGGTTTTTGCAGCATGCCCATTGCCCATCTATTGTTTTCTCCGCCACTCGGATGTATGCAACCTCAAGGATTCCTTTGAGACCTTCAGTGGCCGATGATCAACGGAGTATGGTATAATAACGGTATAATTACCGTCCGACATAAAATATAAAAACAAATAATATTAGAACAAGATGTGGAGTGCGAAGCACGGGAACTGCAATTATCGCACCCGCTGCGTACGAAGAAAACCAAGAGGCTTTCGTGGGACCTGCGCACAGTAACCGAAAAAGCCTTTCGCTGCTTTTATCAGTTATCATCCATCGTACGCACCTGATGACATAATATTTCGGAGGTGGCACAGCAGCATCGTTTGAAGTCGAAGTTCAGTACCGGATCAGTACGCCGTCCAACATTACGCAGTTACAGTACTGTACAGTACTCAGCGATATCTACAACAGCTGATGTCACGTAAATATTTCCGTTCTCCCGCACCACGATTTAAAATGGTATCTGCTTAAATCGTGTCTCCCACGGTTGTCCGTTAGGTTTATTATAGTTAAAGTTTTTCACTCAGTTATCGATAAAACTGGAAAATACTAGGGATTTCCTACTTTTAAAACCATGTACCATTATAATGTATAATTAGTTATACGCTCTTTCAAGTTTAAAATTTAGGCTGTTGAAAGCGAACCATTTTTAAGGGGTAAGACTTAGGCAATATTCTATAATCTAGATCCATCGTGAGTGATGTGACTGAACATTAATGTGCATGAGTGAAACGCTTTATGTAATAATTAAACATAAACTACTACTAAGATTCTTGGAAATTCGTAACGTACATACGCACATGTCACTATATTTTACGATAAATAAGTTTCGACACGACCGGAAGAAAAGTTCACTCAGTATCAAAGTCCGATTTTAATTTTGAAAACATATTTGAATTCCTTATTTTTTTTTCTAGGTTTTGTAGGAAACTGATTTTCGAACTGTACAGTTTAATTTACCTAGTACTTACCAAATTAATTTTTCCCTTCAAAATTCACCTTTACTTTAGTGTCACTAAAAAAAAAAAATTGAAAATCCGTTTTCTACATAATTAAGAAAAGAGAATAAGGATTACAAATGTTTTTTTCAAAATTAAAATTTGATTCCTGGAAGTATATTTTTTCTCTTCCATTTATTAGTCTAAATGCACGAAAAAACATCTTTCAATAGTATCTATAGTAACTAAGTACCTAACTATTGTAAATAAAAATGTAGCCAAAACTAGTTAACTCGTTAAAATAATGATATTGATAGGTATAAAGTGATATCCACAATTATTATATCTGTACAGTGCTGTTGAGCAAATTTAATGCATTATTCTACGTTTTAGTAACTTAACCCATTGCTCATAAAAATATCGTAATTTTACGACTACTTAACATATTATTATGTTAACGTTAATAGAATGTCACTCACTCGACGGGCCGTTTTCACTGGGAATATATTAATTATATACAAATTTACAATGGTATAGCCGTATAGTATGGTACCTACATATAGATTGAAAACCACAGCTATTTGTACTAAAACTCGTATAGAAACGTGTTGCTCGTCGCTCGTGTATCTATAAACGTGTACATACCAATATAAATAACAATAATAATAATAAGCTCTTATAGCTGTGCCGCCCGTTGTTGGCTGTCCCAAAGTTTTTTATAAATATATTTTATATTTTTATGTAAAAAAACATATAAGCCATTTTTTTGAGACAATTCCATTATAATACCTATAATGGTGAGTATAGTACTATAATATGTGATCAACGAAGTTTAATGGTATAACATTTTATTGAAAACGGCCCTGTAGTTTTTGAGTCTATTAACTTCGAATAAACCCTACGTGGGTTAAAATATATAATATAAAAATTATTATAAGTTTAAATTATTATATCCGATAAATTATATCATGTATAGACTGTGGCAATCATTTATATAGAAAAGAATTATTAATTTCTACTAATTTGTTAATAATATAAAATATATGGACTACCTAAAAATTGTGGCTTCACCCTTGTGCAGTTTGTTTTTGTGTCAAACCCTGTATAGGATAATATACGCAATACTCTATATAGGTGTTGTACCTATCGGTCTGAGTGTATCTCAGTTATTTAGTGTACCTACCTCAGTTCACTGATAAAGCGGCATCAGTGTACCTACCTTTGTGAACTAATTCTACCTAGATGGACAATCGCAAGTCGTGGATTGGATTTAGCACTTGGTAAATTTTTTAATTCGGTTTAAATTAATTACACTCTAAATTTTTCAGATATATCAAGAATAACCTGTGAGCTTGTCTTCAAATTCAATCGAGTAATTTTTGAGTTTTTTGAGTTTTTGAGTGTATAAACTACATTTGGTTTTAAGATATAGTATCTTTATTCGAGTTTATAACAAAATGTAATAATCATACCCAATTTATACGTTCTCATTGTCCCGTTGACAATAAGCCATTACTGGAGGGAAAAAATAGTCGAAAACCCAAACTAAATACCTTGTTAAAAAGGATGTTGTATTCAATATTTTTGGATACAAAATACTAATATTTAAACATATTTTAACAATTTTTGAACTCTGAAAAATTCTAAAATTTTAATATTTGTATACGATTTTACATGATTTTATATACATTTAATATATTATAACTATGTACAGGTAAATAAATATACGATCTATGGGCTCTATGATTTATATCGAAATTACTAAAAGTAAAAATAAATTTAGTTCATTTTTTTAATACATTATTCTAAATGTTTAGGGCATTAAAACCCCAGACTTAATAATATCATAATATTATGCTCGTGACAACAGACGAATACTCTGATAGACATTTGAAAAAATGTTAAAGTTTTGGAAACGTTTTGACTCCGAAACCCAGGCTTGGATTATACCGTGAAAGACAATGTATGGATTTTTCTGAAATATCGTGTGAGGGGAGGGGCACTTGATGTCTGATGACACACGTGCATTGACGCATTTAATAATTACTAAAGAAAGTTAATTTTTTCGATTTGTAATAAAAAAAAAAATCTTGTCGGGTTACGTAAATAATTATATAGCTCAAATAGGAAGTAATGACAAACATTAGTTTAATATTTCGTCTTACATTGATTTCGGAGTGCAAAATTAAAACATCTGGATAGAGAGTAGGTAAATAAATAAATTATAAAAAAAATTTTCCTACGAAATGGATTGGCCGAGTTTTAAAATCTATATTATCCTTAAATCATATTATATCATATCGTATTCAATTTTCTTAAATCTCGGACATCATCATAATATTATCTTAATTTTTTTTTTTAAACATGATCCAAGTCTACGGGACTCGGATAAATTTACGGCACAGTCGAAATATCTCGATCGGCTCTCGATGAGGAACTCGAGCAATAGGAACTCGATAAATTATTATATGGGTCAAAATAAACGTCAACACCGACGTGTCTCGATGAACAACCGTTGCGGTTGTTACAAACTTGACAAACAGCATGATATACATTATACTATAATATATTATAATATAGGTAGGTACGGGAAAAAAATCACAAGAATATATTATTATCAACTACTTTCATCTACAAAACGGTGCGAAAATAACGTACACGAAATCGCGTACGCCTATAATGTATATTATAATAATAATATTTGTCGATTGTGGTCGACCGATCTTATTATGTGAACGTTACATATTATTATTATTATGATTATGTTCAATTTTATTGTCGAACCCATAATATTATAACGACGTCGTCGTAATATCAACGGAATTATTATTATATAACACTCGCTAAATAGTTACAAGCTATTTTCGATCGGCATTGTGGATAATATTATACACAACCACTAACACCTAAACAATAATATATAACCCAGAGTATGATCACGAGCTAATTTTCGAGAAATTCGGGTCGCTGCAACTACGACAACCTATATAATGTTATGCTTGTGCATAATATATTATTACTATATAATATAGTGCTGGTGCAGCCGGCCGCGTATTTCATAACTATTAAAAATTTTTCCCCGGGGCACAATTTAATGGGTAAAGCGTAATTATTATATTATTTATGGGCCAGCTACTTTATCTGCCCACAGGAACTCCAGTATCTCGATAGTTCGTTGAGAGCTACGATATAGTGCGCCTGTCGGACCCACTGATATATAGCCTCTCTGCTGTTCCCTTTCCTTAAATTTGGCGGGTCTTTTATTGTCCAAAAAGACCATTTTTTTTGTAATTTTAAAAACTTTATATAGGTATCTTTTCAGTAATTCCGTGACCAGCGTGCTTTCAGTCAGTATATGCCATTTGGGCATTTTGGAAACCAATGTCAAACCAAAATTATTATACCAATTTATAATGATATAATTTTAATTTTTTTTTTTTTGTCGATGATTTAAATTACTAAGATTTATTAACATTTGTATGATTTAAACATTTTGAAATATTATAAATATTATATATAAGTATACACAATTACAAACAAACGTTACCTATACAATATATAGAGAGTTGTGTTTGTGGAATCAATAGGATTCTTTACACCATTTTTTTTCTTTAAAAAAAAAATTGTCTCAGAAAACTTAATATTATTCCATAATGCAAAACGGTACCCGCAGCTTTAATAATATTAATATTTGAACAAGGGTTCTTGTGTATCAAATATTATACATTAATCTATCATTAAACATTTTCAGAATTTTGTTCCCATGTATTTAAAATCGAATATAATATTGTGAAAATAGACTGGTGATAAGTATGTCACTAAAAAAAACTAAAGGCCTTTTAAAAGCAGTTCATACTTTTTTCGTATTTTTTCGAACCGTTTCATTTTTTCGTATACCGTTTATGCTCAATGAACTGCGCTCATTATACATAATTGAAGATTATATATTGGAATAATCTAAACCAAATATTTTATTTTGTATTACTTAACCTAATTTCCACAATATTTTAAAAATGTAATTTTTTCGTGTGACACGTTTTCCACGATGTATACCGGTACCAATTTATTATACTCACACCTTGCGTCCTTGCAATCAGTGATCACTGCACAAAATGCACAAAATAATTATCATGTAATATCATCGCGATCAACCGCCCACATAAATATTATTTCTATTTTTTTTTTCATTATTATTACAGCAGTTAAAAGTACCTGATAATATAGGTATAGAAGAACGTATTAATATAATCATAATATATTATATTACATGGTTGGCATCATAAATATTACACTCACGGTTTATAATTTTATTGGTTGCGGATTCCGCAAAGAAAATCAACTATTCCACGGTGGCTCTTCACGAGTGCATAATATGTATATACAATGTAGCTATTCTTCAATGTCATGTTTGCGTCTTATATAATAATAAATTGATAAGTGAATGTGGTTTGGCATATGTATAATATATATATATACTATTATGTTTCGGTGGGGTTTGGATCTATGCCGATCGCAGAAAAGGATATAAATAGTCGTAATTATAAGATGTACCTACGCGAGCGTTGGACAGTGCAGTCCCTGACAAAAATATTATCTCTGGACTCTTTTTTGTGGTGTGTGTGGTTGGGGGGGGGGGGTCAATCAATAACTCGTATATTGACGTAATTTAGTAATAGGTGTATAAACTACTATAATATTGTATAGTATGTTGTATATATAATATATAGTATTTTAGAGCCATGTATAGGCACTATATTATACATAAATCTACACATTTATTTTATACGAATAGACAATAACATATGACGTCGAAGGATTGGATCTCGGTCGGGGGCGTATTTAAGGGAGGGTCTGACATGTATGAAATAATACATATTGTAATGATAATATATACGATTTATTATTATTTTGATTATTGTTTTACTACCATCGGAGTTATATTTATTTTGTAATTTGTAGTGAACTTGGTTGTAACTAATTTATATTCTGTTGTAGTGTCCCCTTCCACACCATTCGAAATCCCAAAATACGCCCCTGATCTCGATTATATATGGCCGTATTGAAATCGTTTCGATCGTAGGCTATATAAATTTTATATTATATACGCCAACTGACATTTATTTTACATTTCGCTGTCTTCGTCCCGATCCGAGAGCAAGATATTATACGTATATTAAACACACCTACGAATCCAGCAATGTGTTTTATTTTTGCTTATGTTTTGTTGAGATTAATTATTGTTGACTAGCGTATTTTAAACCATATTTTCGTTTGTAGGAAATCCATGCGCACATTGGTGCAAAGTAATGTGAGAATACTATTAATTAACAGATAATTTATCATCGTTTAACAATGATATTATGCAAAATGTAAATGTATACATCCGTTTTGAGTTCCTTCGAAGCGAAGGGGAAGCCCAGAAAGAGATGATTATAAATTATAAAGACCAGTATATAGGTGCTTACGCCTAACAGACACTCTGGGGAAACGAAACCTAAGTTGTCAATATTGTAATATGAGTATATTATGACGCATTGTGATTAATTGTGATATTACGACGCAATGCCACCCCTCGGAAATTTTTCTCGGGGGGAGAGGGGCAGCGAAAAAACAATACACTTACCATAAATTCTGTTTTTATATCACATAGTAAAAAAAATTTACAATTTTGTGTCACCTTATCAGTTATTATTAGTCCTCCAACGCTGCTATATAAAATGCGAATAAACGCAATAAAATGGTATACAAATTACTAATTAGGTATTATCTAAATGAGCGGAGGGGACGACGACCCTCCTTCCTATTGCGGAGTATAGGTGCTGCTCGTTGTTATTATTTGTACAACAGACTTGTCGAAATATCGAGGCTTTTTCAGAGGCTGGCTATGGATAAAGTCGCGTTGGAGACGATAATATAGACATTTACAAAACTGTTCTTATACGCACACCATGTACGCCGCAGTCAATTACTATTATACACAGCTACCTATAGGAAGGCACATACGTAAATTAGCAGCTATGCAATTAATGCAATGGAATTTTAAACATAAAACTATTGCAAAAATAATGGTTACGGCTGTAATTAATAACTCCTATGGATAGTGTGAATAGCGTAGTTATGTAAGAGTTACATTTTAGTCATATATCAAAGCGAATAAAACGATTAGGCCGCCGTGAGCGAAACAATATTAAAACGACATATCTACACTGACTGGTTGGCTAAATCCAGCTGGCACATCATCATCGCATCTATAATATGTTGTAAAACGATTTATCACTGAATCATTAATTGCCAATTCCCCCGGAGTGTGTCATTCGAAACAAACAAATCGCTAAATTTCACCAACGCTGTCGCTGCCCGTTGCGATCTCAGTTTTTAAAATGTATAATAATATGTTTCGAATAGTTTATACAGTGCATACTATTGAGAACCACCGAGAAGCTACACAATATATTATACATTTTAGGTTAGGCAATAACTATAGTTTTTCGCAATAATATAAGATGAATTAATTAGTTTGAACGAATTGATGAATAATAATAATATTTAAATAATACATTTATGTTGAAAATTGTACAAATGCATTCATGGGTGACGATATAAAAAAACAATTTGTATTATAATATTATGGGCATTCTATAGCCACGGTGTCGTAGGTATTACTCAACACTTTATTGTATTATAGTTGGAAATTGAATACATTGTAGACGACTTTTTTTTTTTTTGAAAAATTAGGTTTATACGGTTCTGATATTATTATTTTATACGCACAACCGTAAATCATCAAAATAAACGCAACGAAGAAAATTGCTGTGAATGTTAAATTACATTATCTTATCTTTCCACCTCGATGTTATGATAACCGATTTCCACAAGAACGTTAAAGAAAAGCATTTAATTAATTATAACTCGTAAAGTGGATTTTTATGCATTAGTAGAATTTAAAGTATCAAATCAAAAATATGATAACTTTATAACAGATTATGCTGGTTAAGTTATTATAATATTTGAACAAACAAATAAAATTTAATATACTTATTCTCACTTTCTATTCCTCTTCGCCACCTTCCCATTCACTTTTACTTACTAATACTCAACAATCCGTTATTTTTTCAACTTAACAAATAACCCTTTCATATAACATTATTATTTTTACTCTATAGTTGCATTATTATTTTTTTTTTTATCACAATATATACTGGTCTCGTCGTTAACATTTTAGCTAGTATTAAACCATATTATTATTATAGTTACCTTAGCCCATAATTCAGTTATTAAAAACATAATTAAAATATCATTATTAGACATTATATATTGCTTATTAGTATAATAATAATTTATTACAAACATATTATTATAATATGTGTGTGTTGTCGATATTAAGTCTATAAAATATTTAATTTAGGTATAGTGATTTAGTATAGTATAGTATTTATGATAAAGTGAAATGGTACCTAACATTATATATATATTATTTTGAATGGTTTCAAATTTTAACTACCTAACTAATATTAATAGTTAATACATTTTAGGTTTATCCCTGCATGGGAATATAGTTTATACTTTATTTGTATTTTAATGGTTGTATTTGGTCAAGGAGTAGTGATAGGTCCTGCGAATAAACAGAATATTTTGTATTCGTCTACCTATTGCGTACTTCAATTCATTAGTTTGATTATTATCAGACACTCTGAAAGTATATTATATCGAAGTCATTAGTTACACCTGCTCACTATCAAAATATAATTTCTATGCAAGTTAACAATTTTAGTTCTGCAGTAGGTTGTAGCATGCAAATAGGGTAACTTGTATAATAGTTATTAGCACCAAGTAATTTTGTATTTCGTACATAAAAATATGAAATGTTTGATAATGAATTTTAGAGATGTTTTATTATCAATCTTGATAATATAATATCAAGTTATCATATTATTTATTTGATAATTCGCCATTCGATTTCGTAATGGAGCAGGTTAGGTGCCAATAACTACCAAAAACGAATTCTTAAGGTGCCAATAACTATACAAGTTACCCTATATTATGTACATATTAATAATATAGTTTATGGCCTACTAACAAATTTAAATTAACACTAAACCGCTAAAAACATTTTTGAATGTTAGTCATACTAAATCGTTTGAAAATAATTGAAGCTATATTTTTATGTTGGAAGCACGGACACACTATTGTTTCTAGATTTCAGTATAATATATAGAAAATATACTCAGTTTTCAACGCTCTTGTGACAAAAAATTAACGTTAATATTTATATTCCGTATAGGTAAGTAGGCACTTATACCTAAACCTAACGGTGACTTAAGAGTAGAATATCATAACGAGTTTTGGTCGTTTTGTTCGTCTCTCTTGGAA